GACATTAGGGGTCTTAAAGACCCCTGATGTCTCCATAAAGAGGACCTGTCACTGCAAATTGGCTATCACATAGGGAGCTTGTTTGCTCCTTATGTGATAGCAATAAAGTTCAGTGAAAAAAAAAAAAAAGGTTGAAAAAAAATTTGTTACAAAAAAAAAATTAAAAATCACAAATCAAAAGCAATAAAAAAAAATTAAAGTCCCCCACCCCCACACATGTGTTAAGCCCGCCTACGCGGATTACATCCATTGCGCCGCACGTTACATATCGCCGCGAACGTCGCAGTGAGAGCAATAATTCTCGGCCCGTCAATCACCGATAACACTAAAATGATGAGCGGTAAAAGCTTTTAAAGCGTCGCCTATGGCCAATTTTGGGTACGGTAGTTTTCTGCGATGTCGCGGGTACGCGCAATTTTAAAGCTTGACATGTTTGGTGTCTATTTACCCGACGTGACCCCATCTTTTATATTTTACCAAAAAAGTGGGGTGATAATAAATGTTTTATAACATAACGTAGGGAGAACAGGTTTTTTTTCAACATTTTCCGTACTTTTTTCATTATACACTAAAAAAAGAACCCCCCCAGCGGTGATTAAATACCCCCAAAAGAAAGCTCCATCTGTGCCCAAAAAACGGTATAAAATGAATTTCGGTACAGCGTTGCGTGACGGAATAAATGTCAAAGTACCGCAGCGCTGAACAATGGCCGGGACAGGAAGGGGGAGGGGACACCGCGGTCGGCAAGGGGTTAATGAAGCATCTATCAGGCCTCAGCGCGCTTCAAGGCGTTTTAAATCCCGGTAGAAGCTCGTTTAAAGGGCCAGCGCTCCCATTGCGATCCATCTTTAACCTGAAAGGTGCTTTAATGGCTTCAATACCACGGCTTGGAACTTGCCTAGAGCGTCGCCGATGCTTTAGAAAGGTTTGCTGGACACGATATAGGTGGAAGTCCTCGTGTACGGGACCCCGGAGGGCCAATCGAAGTCCTCGTGTACGGGACCCCGGAGGGCCAATCGAAGTCCTCGTGTACGGGACCCCGGAGGGCCAATCGAAGTCCTCGTGTACGGGACCCCGGAGGGCCAATCGAAGAGGATGAGGCTGCGAAGGTCTAAACTTCCAATTTAGGAACCAAATCTCCCGTCACTCTTCATTTCTCAGCCTTCCTTCACTTCCATCTGACGTGTGAATAAGCCCCTCCCCCCCATATCGAATGTGCAAAGAAAGCCGCTCTCATGTCCGCAGCTAAAACAGAACATTTACAGTCCAGAGGGGTGACGGGCTAGTGAGGGAATCCGGCGCCACACAAGAGCGGAGACGCAGCAATCCAGACCGGACGTATCCCTCCCTCAGGCCCCGTTCCCACTGCGCGATATCGCGTTCAAGCGAGAATCGCGGCTAAATCTGCTCCAAAAAGGGTCCTGGGGTAGCGACGCACGACCCGCCACAGCAGGACCCTTTGCCCCATTGAAATGCATTGGAGCGCGATATCGCGCGGTAATTTTATTTGGATTTGAATTTTTAGGCATTTTTTTTTTATTTAAAAGAAAATGCCTAAAAATTAATTTAAAAAAAGCCTAAAAATTAAAATAAAATTAAAAAATACCTAAAAATTAAAATTAAATTAAAAAATGCCTAAAAATTAATTACATTTTTATTTTTAGGCATTTTTAAATTTCATTTAAGTTTACATTTTTAGGCATTTTTTTTTTTCAAGGCTTTCAATCCTCAGCTCCCAATGAGATGTATTTATAAAATATTTGCAGAGCTATTCGCTACGGGAACGTCTTACACTTAAGAGTCCTAACACATTATGGCCACTAGAGGGAGCCGCGGAGCATAGGAGTTTCCTATTCTGTTCGGCTCCGTCTGGTACAGGAAGGGGAGGGGCAAAGTCCAGCTGTGCTTCAACTACACAGCCCAACGTGCATCTATCTCTGGGAGTCCTGCTTGCGGCTGTGAAAACCTCCCTCATGGGATTTGTAGTTCCACGGCAGCTGAAGGGCCGGAGTTTGCCCGCCACCTACGCTAGATGGAGCTGCGGAGCATAAGAGTTTCCTATTTTGTTCAGGGGGGGGGGCTTAAAGCCAGCTGTGCTTTAACTACAAACCCCAACATGCACCTGTCTCTGGGAGTCATGCTTGTGGCTGTGAGAATCTCCCAATGCCTCATGGGATGTGTAGTTCCACGACAGCTGGAGGGCCGCAGTTTGGCTACCCCTGCTCTAATATGAATGTACAACTAGAATGTTTGCAGGGTGAACAGCTCTGCGAACGTTTTATAAATACACCACTTCGAGAGCTCAGGTTTGCAAACCTGATTATTTTTTTTTTTAAATAAAATGTAAAAATGCCTCAAAACGGAAATAAAAAATTTTAAATAAACGAATTAAAACCCCCAGAAATGTAACATTGAAATTAAACGCTGGACCTGCTTCCAAACCTGATTATTACCACCCTCTAGTGGCTATAATGTGTATCTACAACTAATACGTTTGCAGGGAGAACAGCTCTGCGAACGTTTTATAAACACACCCCTTTCAGAGCTGAGATTTGCAAGCCTGATTTTGTTTTAAAGTAAAACTATGATTCTGCCTCTAGATAGGCAGAGCGAGCTGTCACTCACGCAGCTGGGCGGATCCCGTCATCTACGTCGGGATCCGCTTCAGCTGCGGCGGTCTCAATATAACGCGAGCTGCAGCTCCCTATATACTGAGCCTAGGGTGACGGGAGGACGCTAGTTTGTGTCCTCCCGTTACCCCAAGGAGAACTATGGGGAAAAGACTTAACCCCATAGTTCTCCTTTAAGATAAAATGTAAAAATGCCTAAAAACGGAAATAGAAATGTAAATAAATGAATTAAACCCCCAGAAATTTAACATTTTAATGAAAAGCTGGACATGCTTCCTAACCTGATTATTACCACCCTCTAGTGGCTATAATGTGAAACTACAACTAAAATGTTCGCAGAGCGAACAGTTCTGAGAATGCTTTATAAATACACCACTACGAGAGCTGAGATTTGTAAGCCTGATTTAAAAAAAAAAAATGTAAAAATGCCTAAAAAGTACAAATTGAAATTAAAAAGCTGGACCTGCTTCCAAACCGGTTAATTACCATCCAGTGGAGTGGCTACAATGTCAATCTACAACTAAACCGTTCGCAGGGCGAACAGCTCTGCAAACGTTTTATAAATACACCCCTTTGAGAGTGGAGGTTTGCAAACCTGATTTTTTTTTTTTTTTAAATAAAAATGCCTAAAAACGGAAATAAAAAAATTAAAATAAATGAATAAAAACCCCAGAAATTCAAAATTTAAATTAAAAGCTGGACCTGCTTCCAAACCTGTTTATTACCATCCAGTTGCCTACAACTAAAATGTTTGCAGGGCGAACAGCTCTGCGAATGTTTTATAAAACTTCCACCCCATAATGCTCCAGCTTGCCTATTTCCCCGAGCCCGATACTGATTGCGCCCATTTAGTTAAATTTGCCCCGCAAAACATTAAGAAATTATAAAAAAGGAGACACATGGACACTGCAATATGCACATATTTTTTTTATTTATAAAGAAAATGCCTAAAAATTAAAATTAAATTAAAAAATGCCTAAAAATTACAGGCTACACAGGGAGACAGAGAGAGGTGTCTGGAAGGTTTGGAAGCAGGGCGAGGTTTTACATTTAAAAATTAAAGTTCGGGGTTTTTAATTTTAATGCATTTTAATTTTTAGGCATTTAAAAAATGTTTTTATTTTTTTTTTTATAGCATTTTTATGCATTTTTTTAGAATTTAAATTTGGATTTTAATTTTTAGGCATTTTTCTTAATTTAAAAGAAAAATGTCTAAAAATTAAAATTACATAAAAGCCTAAAAATTAAAATTAAATAAAAAAAATGCCTAAAAATTACATTTTTATTTTTAGGCATTTTTAAATTTCATTTAAGGCATTTTTTTTTTTAAAGGCTTTCAATCCTCAGCTCCCAAGAGATGTCTTTATAAAATGTTTGCAGAGCTATTCGCTACGGGAACGTCTTCCACTTAAGGGTCCTAACACATTATGGCCACTAGAGGGAGCCGCGGAGCATAGGAGTTTCCTATTCTGTTCGGCTCCGTCTGGTACAGGAAGGGGAGGGGCAAAGTCCCCCAAAGTTCTAAAACTTCAACCCCATGATGCTCCAGCTTGCCTATTTCCCCGAGCCCGATGCTGATTGCGCCCGTTTAGTTAAATTTGACCCGCAAAACATTAAGAAATGATAAAAAAGGAGACACATGGACACTGCAATATGCACATATAAATAAAAGGATAAGCTACGCTGCACGGCTGGAGACATTAGCATGATGTGTAAGTGGCATCAAGCACAACGTATACATGTATATCGGTATATATATATATATATATATATACACATTATAC